ACTTCTCGTTCACATGCTTCGGAGGTTCCCCTATGTATGGTAACAGTGACGCCGCGGGCTAGTGTATTTACGGAGCTGCCCTGCCGGCCCACAAGCCCGCAATTGTCCCGCTGTGCTGCATCCTGGGTTAATAAACCCGTGCTTGTTGACCTGACGAGAGTGTCGTTTCTGCACCATGTTGGAGAATCGGCTGTAGCGTCTACATACGTGCGCGACGGCAATGAAGAACGACCCGTCCCTTCCCGGTTGCCTCGTACTTCCACAAAGAGCACTGATGTACTGGCACAAAGTGCAGTCCTTCACAGTCTAGCAGTGCTGTGCTGGAGATGGTTTATGGGACTTAGGTGACAGACATTCCATCCATAACCACTGCAGTTTTGAGTGCCCAAGCACCATGAACAATTACTGCATTCTTCAAAATATGATAAATAAGCATAAACTTATTCAAATAAGCAGCACTCTCAATACGAGGGTTCCAATTGGATTTCTATAAATGATGCTTTTTTAGCTTCCGATATAAAGCTGCAACAGTTTGCATACATTTTGGTTCAGCGAACTTTTACTTTAACCAACTTTTTCCTAGGGTTACGTGAAAGTTGCTTCAAGTGAAGTTTCACTGTATGCAGTTTTGTCTACGTTAGGCTGAACGACAATAGCATACGACAGCCCGGGCCCTTAAAGTGCTCCACACCTATTGCATCCTCAGGGAGCCCGAAAAACAAGAGAAAGATATCTCCTCAGCGCAAGCGAGAGCTCCATATCCAGCAAATGGCTATGCTATAAGCGATTATGAGTTCAAATCAGTGCCACCGATTTGAGGAGACAGTAGAGAGATCAAGAGTGCCAGTATACTTGTGACGTCATTGTGTTCTGCACATGGCTGTTGTAACCAGTGTGTAAGTGTGAAAAAGCGAAGCCCTTCCAAAGAAACAAAGAAAGAAACGGTTGAGAGTTCTGTGCTCTGTGCCCCCTCTACTGTCCCCTTCTCTCCACTGCCCTTACTTGCACTTACAATCATGTTGTACCAACTCGCTTATTCCTGCATTCTTCCATGTTATAGTGTTTTTGCCTGAATTATGCGAAGCAATGATAGCATACGACAGCCCAGGTCCCACAAGTGTTCTGCACTGAAGATGTTTCCATCCTGCGAACAATAAGTTTGCAATGATACTACTGTGAACAGTACCACTGCAGACAATGAAGAATTAACTAGTTTCCAATCAGTCCTATCATCAATCATCATCAGTCCTATCATAAAAAAAAAAATGAGGTGGCTTCACTCCACAGAGTGCTTCACTCCGTCAGCCGCCATGTTTGTTTTGACATCCCGCACTGTTACAGCGGCGGCCACCTGTGGGTCGACCTGTGTTCATACCGCAGCAATGTTTTTTTTTTTCCCGAGACAAAAGACTTCCGCGCCAGTTCCGGCTTGATGACACGCTTCATGTGGCAGAACGGACTGTCGCTGGCATTTCCAACACGCTCAACATAACGGAAGATGACCCCCTGTGGGACAGTGAAGACACTGCCGGTTCCGACAGAGAATCGTGCGGCGACGACACTGACGCCAGTGATGCTTCAGAGTCTGAATGAACGTTAGGGGGTCAGAGAGGTAAAAAATAAAAAGGCAGTGTGTCATGCACGTAGCTCCTGCGTAATGCGAGTATTCTATTACAAAGGTAAGCCTTAATTTACTTTTAGGTTTGGTTATGTTCATGATAGCTACCGTAAGAATTCTGATTAGCGACTTTTTCGCATTTCCGGTGCTCAGAATATCTTTACACGGAAAATTTATCCCGCGTAATGATCGCATCCAGAAGTTGGTGTCAATATTTTTTTAAACAAGGTGCGGTCAATATGCGAGTATATACGGTATACAACAGAATACACTCTAGCAAAAAAATGCATGAAATAAATTCAGTTGGGGCGGTAGGACTGCTCACCACTCCTTCATAAGCACATTTAAATCTCCGATCATATCATGACAAGATGGTATTTTCTAGAGCAAGTATAGCCAAAGAGTGCCATGCAGGAAATCTATGAATTGCTAATAACCAACAGATTGCAATGCATATGTTTGACTTGACTACTGGCCACATTTTGTGTGTGTGTGCATATGTGTGAGAGAGAGAGATCCTGACATGCAACAAAAAGGGTTGACTTATAATTCTGCCAACACTTTAGATAGTGCAGCCAGAAATTAGTACGAGCAGCTCAGGATGAAAAATCAGCTGGTTATTTATAGGCAGCCAGCAATTAAGATCCGACATACGTGCACCCAAATCTGAGCACACGGGCCTACTACGTTTCCGCCTCCATCGGAAATGCAGCCGCCGCAGCCTTCATTTTCCTTATGCAGCAATATTTTATGTCGCTAGGGCATTTCGTCTATACTCCCGAAAACCCCTATCGTGTCCTCTAGAAAGCAGTGCATAAAAAAAAATCTCACAGGGTACTTTATGCATACGCCTAAGACAACTCGAAGGCAAGATTCATTTTGTTTTTTGATGTGATAGCAATTATACTGACAATCTCGACTGATTTTTGCCATTGCCATGGGTGTAGCCAAAAATTTTAAAAATCTGGGGGGGGGGCAGGCATAAGGTCATTTTGTACTTATATGCATGCCATGGCGAAACAACTTTTGGAGGTGGAGAGGGGCACGTTCCCAACGTGCTCCCCCCCCCTGCTACGGCACTGGCTGTCATGTTTTGTGTAACGTCCCAATCAATAACATCTACCGGCGCATCGTGTTTTACACACGGGTAAAATCGCCCAAGCGGGGGCAACAAATGCGGCTAAAGCAGAGATAAGAAGAGCCGACCCATCTCCTTTGCACTGAGAGCGAATGCGATAATATCACCCCACGTGCCAGGCATCCCATCGGTTGTTACTCAAGCAGAGAGGAACGTGCCGCCCGTGTACAAGGGGCAGAAAGGATGGAGCTAGAAACGTGAGGGTCGGGGCATTGCTATGAACTTTGACTTAAAAGGCATGATCGCTGGCACACGCCTTGTACTCTCAATGCAAACAGACTGCAAAAAGTGCTTCGCTTTCTAGAGCGGCCGTATAAGGGTGTGCACTGAACATTGATCGCAAGGCAACCACACCATCATCGCATCATTTCAGCGATCCATTCGTACGTTCCGTTCGTGCTGCACAGATAGAATAACACTGGTCTAGAGCAGTGGAGCGCGTGCCTGTTGACACTGTTGTTGGCCGCGGCTTCTATCTCACGTTAGCTACAAGCTTCCGTTGATGCTTACATTATAGTACAAGGGCCTAACACGCAGTAGGACCACGTTTGGTAGCATTACAGCATCTCTCTTAACATATTTCTGAATAAAACGCGAGCTGGAGCGGCTGGCTGGGCGCTCTAAATAAGTCTGATTTCATCTGTACGTGCACAGGCATGCAAGAGATGTTTCGGGGGTCTCTAGTCACCAAAGTCGTAGATGTATGCGGTAAGTTTTTCCAAGTGCACGGACGTCAAGCATTATTATTTGGTATAACGATACAATTTGTTGGTATCGCATTCACTGCTAAGAGTATAAGTCAAACTAAAAAATAGTATCTTTTAGATTGGATATCCGTAACTCAAAATAACGCTGGCTAAAAGGACAATGATCACTCTAGTGTCTGAAGCTTTTGTGCTGTCAGTTATCTAAACGCAAAGCAGATGTTAGTAGCACAGAAAGTTCATGAGAAGTCTCATTATGTCGCGAGATAGCGCGCACCAGCTATTTCAAGCGACGCAGCAGCCTCCCCTCCATTGTTTATTTCAAAACGAAGAAATAAATGCGATGCCATGATGTTCATTTTTTTAACCTTCAGCTATTGACCCTGGAAAGCGAGAGGCGAACATGGGTGTACCCACTTCACAGGCTTTTGACACCAGAGCCGCCAGCGATGACCTCACTATAGCCGCGCATATTAAAACCAAATTGCGGCTGCTCCGACCAGGATACATGCTTTTGTAAATGAGATGACATTTAAAAAGAAAGCACAACGAAAATTTTCAATCTGAACTTTAGCAAGCTCAAGTTCGAAAGGGCAGGGTCTTTTAGGGGCTTTTAGCGCCACAGCGATTATAAACGTGGATGTGCTGGTGGAAGGAATTACGATACAGCTCTTCTGTATGATGATCCATGGATAAAGTATATCAAAAGGAAAAGTGGTAACACGTTCCCACTATTTGCGTGTTCTTCTGCGGACAAGAAGCACGAAAAATTAGATTGTGATGTCCAGACATAGACGTGACAGACATTCTGGCAGCACGCATACAGTTATTAGTGAAAATTGTTTTATTACATGCAGCGCAACTCTTCAAGCGATCATAAGCATTTCTGGAATGAATAAGGGTCGCTGATGAATCACCACCACGGTTTCATGCTACCGATTGGACTAGACGTCACGAACCCATGCGGAGAGCACGTGTCGCCGTTAAGCGGACTTGCACAACAGAGTTGCGTCGACAGCAAACATAGCATCGTGTATTTTAGGACGCACGCGCGACCGCTGTTTATTTAGCGTAATAAAATAGGTATGTGATTGTGACTTTGGTGGCCTTGAGAACAAGGTGCACATGCATTGACGTGCCAGCATAACTATTGCCGGTGATAGACCATCCCCAATCCAACTTTGGTGCAGTTTGGAGCAACTTTCATTGATATTATCAGGATCGCACAGTAAATCTGATTTGGCGCACTTTGGCGCAATTGGCACAAAAATGGGATCACTGGCTAGGGTGCATTTTCACTCGCTACTTGCTTTTAAAAAAACAGGTTTTTCGAAAGCAAGTAGAGAAAAAAAATTCTGTTTAAGGAAAGCATGAATGTGGAAAATATTCAAAGGGAAACCCTTTGCAAATTGCAGAGAAAACAAAAAATTAATTTTCATTATAATTTTGCCCTACTCTGTCGCTTTAAGATACAGCAATACCTGTAAATGACAAGCACAACTAGTACATCATTCTAATACATTAAGTACAGAACTGTCACCTGCAAAGGATGTGGAGGGTAGTTGGTCCAGACATCCAGAAGATCAGGCTCCGAAAAAAGAGTTGCAGAAAAGACCTTGTCCGCCACCTTGATGCCACTATCCAGAAAGAGGGCACCTAGGGGAAATATGAATAAAATAAATATTAAAGCATATATAAGACTAAAATATTGAAAAGGTTGCAACGAGAGTAATAAGTATATTGAACAGCAGACATTTTCCTTTTACTGACAAATATAGAATTAACACTGCACAACCACCATTTAGAAGGTCTTCAGTGGGGAGGAAAAACTATTTTTCACCACTTCAAGATGCCATTAATGTACTTCCATTAACAGAAAAAAGAACAGCAAAATTCAAAGTAATCCCAAATTTTCCGAATTTTTTCACCTTACATCTTCTTCGGTTTTTCTTTCCTTCCATTTCTCCCTTTCTATCAATTTCTCTTTACCTTTTCCCATTTCCACCACACACAAACCTCAAACATAAGAGCTCTGCTATAAAACCTCTATACACTCTGACTGAGACCTACAAGGGGCGCCTTGAAAACCGCTTGAGTTCCACTTGTGGTGCGGCGGGCGCGCAACCTTGAGAGCCTTAGCTGACAGCAGCACCTCATTGTTTTGATAGTTATGGTGGCACAAGCACTCATGGCCGATGCATGAGAGTGTTTCGAGCAGAATTTAAGAATATTGCAGGGAGACATTCATCTACAATGTCGTCATAAATACATGAGAAAACATGAACGAAAGCAGCCACATTTTCCTCGTTAGTGAGCGCCTTGCTGCCTGTTGTCAGTAGTGACGACTAAATGCGTGCGCCAGGTGTACGAATGCATGATGCTTAATTCATAACTGTCATGGTATGCTGTCACTCTTTGGCCCTTAGAATATTGGTGTATGCCTACTACCCGCCTACTTGTGAAATACTCAGGGCACTTAGAAATATCAATGGCTTCACGGCTACTCGCAGTGGAAATCGCGGTGAGCGACTGGGTGGCACGCTCGTTTGTTGCACCTTTGTGCTACGACGATTTTCAACCACTGAGTCTTGCGAAGTCATTTGCTTGAAATTGTCGTGGCATGATCATCACTCATCATTATCATGCGCTCTACCTTGCCGCTAGCACAGCTCATGCTAAGAACTTTAGGTGCTGGTGAGAAAGAGAATGCGCTATGATTTCGTTCAGAAAGGACACTGCAGCCCCGTTACGTCTTTGGCTTCACATTACAACCTCTAGTGTTGTTGATGTTGGTTTCTGAAACAAACTCAGACATATGCACATCGGTCGCTACAGTACTCATAAAGCTTCGTTTTTTTTTTTTTTTTTTTGCCCTGTGCTACTCTACGCCCAGCATCATTTCTTACTAACATGCAGATTCTTTACCAATCAAAGAAGACTTCTAGATAAACCACTGCGAAAGATGAGATCTGATAAATCCCTTCTGGTGGTTCTTTCCTTTTGGGCTACAGAACTAGGTTTTAGCCACTGGAGCGTTTGCGATGCCGTATGTGATTTACTATGCGAGACGAAACGAAGTGAATGCTAATATATAAATTGAGTTTATTTTGTAATACCATTAGTGTTTTTTTTTTCGTGAATAAAGCTAACTAGTTATTTTGAAAATGACATACTGCTAAACATTTCGAGGTTACAAACAAATTCATTTATACACTAAGGCGCTGCCCATATCATGGCCGATCCCCCATGGTGGGTTGCGGCAGTTTAATAATGGCCAACCAATGACTTAGCTTGATCGAGCCGATTGCACATAATGCTGCTGGGTGGATAGTTGTGTTTACGGTAATATGCTACGTAACTCAGTTCGCCGCATAACTGATGGTCAATGAACCAAACAAACCACTAATTGATGTTGCATTGTATTCACCAAAACTGTAATGGGTAGATGGCGTGTTAATAATTATAAGGTTCATCAAAACCCTCCATCAGCTTTGAGCTGAATTGAAATGCCTTACATACATTTATTTCCTTACCAGCCTTGTGGCAGTGAACATCACGCAAGATCATCACCTGCACAGGTTGATTGGCATGTGGGGTTTAACGTCCCAAAACCACCATATAATTATGAGAGACGCCTTAGTGGAGGGCTCCGGAAATTTCGGCCACCTGGGGTTTTAACGTGCACCCAAATCTGAGCACACGGGCCTACAACATTTCCGCCTCCATCGGAAATGCAGCCACCGCAACCGGGATTTGAACCCGCGACCTACGGGTCAGCAGCCGAGTACCTTAGCCACTAGACCACCGCAGCGGGGCACACCTGCACAGGTGGTGTCTCAGACGAATTTATAAATCATGCAGTGGCAGAAAGTTATACAGTAGAAAGAGCGAAAAGCACACACTTTTTTACATCGCACAGCCGTGATCTACTTATTTCGCAGCCAAATAAAGCAGGAACGAGTCGGTAAACTCTAAAACGTCATACCCACAGGACACAATATGTACCCGTTAGCACAAATGACTTTGCAGCAGTTCATAATTCCGATAAACTACGTCCTTGTGGGCGTTAAGAAAGCATTTGGTTCAGCTCGGGCTCTCCACTACTGTCTGCTCTGACAGCCCTGAGGCAGTGCGCCATTCACCATGCACGAAGTGTACGGTTCATATGGGCTACCGAAATTGAGCTATTCACACTACTCTCCCCAGTGATGCACAAAAAGTTAACAAGGGAGACACAAGGACTGCAGCACACTGATTTGGGGCCGCACCTTGCAGCTTCTTTTGTTAACGCCATGCTGGTCCACGGTGATGATTATTTTATATCTATGACACACAGAAAATTTTGACCATATCAGCGCTGCTGTAAAATTATAAGGAACCGTGTCCACCACATGTAAAGAAACTATTTGTGATACCATTGTTTTTATAGATCACACCACAGATAGTACTTATTTAGTCTATAGCCATGTTATCAAAGTTTATTTTTCTTGAAATTGAGAGGGTGTTTTAGGAGCTTACTGTTTCTTTTTAAAGAAATTCATCATTTATTGCAGTTTATTTCTCATAATTCCCAAATTCTCTGAAATTTGGTGTTTAATTTTGTATTACAGTAGACTCTCAACAAACGGAACCCAGAACCTGAAGGGACCAGGAAAATATGTTCCATTTAACAGAAGTTCCGTTTACTGAGAGGTGAACATAGGTGCAGATTAAGAGCCCGAAAAGAAGTGTTGCGGAGACAATGGTTCTCTTTAAGCACTTGTTCCGTTTAACAGATTTCTGTTGACTGTATAAGTTGTTGCAATATGTTTTTCTTAATTTAATTTCCCATGAAAATGCATTGGATAGTTGCCGATTGTCTTGTTTTCCCATCTTTATTTTTCACTTCCTGTTCATTTATACTGTCAATAGACTCGATGTGCATCGCTGTAAACTCGTGTACAGCTGTGCACTTGTGCAGTGACTGCCGCTTCAAGTTATTCGCTCAAACTTGCATTGCAAAATACAGGACCATGGAAATACTTTGAATTAAGTAGAATTTCGAAATAACTGTGTTCAAATTATTCAAGTTTCAATGTATACAAAAATTGGCATGGCATAACATGACCATATCAAAAAGATAAATGACAACTCATACCGTGGAAATCATGACATGCACGTCATAACTGCCATTATTACTTGCCATGATCTTAGCACTCTTGCAGCCATTTTGTTATATTGATATATATATACCAAAACTCGTATGCCAAGACAAGCGTATGATGAACAAAACTGCCAAGTCCTAAAGAGCACATTATGGAACACGTGTAATGTAAGGCATGATTTTGCATGTCATGGTTAAGATGCTCGCAGTAGTTTAATTTATTGGATATGCAAAAAAACTGGTATTCTGTGACGTGACTGTATTATGAACGTAAATGACAGGTGATAGACATGAAATTCATTACATGTGTGAAGAAGATGTGCCTGCAGCGAGAAGCATCGCTGACGCTTGGCTCTCTTGGTTCGTAGTGCGCAAGGGGAACAGCTTGTGCAACCTCTTCCGATATAGCAGTGCGAAGCCGGGCAGGTAGACGGGTGGTGGTCTCGTGAGTAAAGGGCATTAGGGAAAGTTGGCGGGCGACTTCCTCACGGACGAAGGCTCGGACTTGCTGAAGCAATGGTGAATTGTCAGGCATGGAGTCGAAACTGGACAGCGACTCACCACCAGGCTGAGGCTGCCGAGTCAGAGTGCGTAGCTTTTTCAATTCGTCGTAGCTCTGACACAAGCTGACGACTTCAGAAACTGTGCTTGGATTCCTAGCCAAGAGCATTTGAAATGCACACACATCTTCTTCTTCACACATGCATATCTTGTACACCATGACTTACATGCCACGCTCATGGTGAGCCAGTGGTTGTTGCAACCCCTGAATATAAACCAAAACTGCTATTGTGGGACGTGACTGTATCACGAACCTATACGACAGGTGGTTACACGAAAATTATATTGTCACGTGCGCACATGTCATGTGCGCAATGACCTTCTCGCCCCGCTCATGCTGAGCTCGAGGTTGTTTCATTCACTTGACATACACCAAAACTGGTGTTGTGATGTGCTTCTATGAAAATATATGACAGGTGGCAATAGGAAAATAATGACTTGCATGTCATGCATAGCATGATTTACATGCTATGCTCATGATGAGGTCACGGTCGTTTCACTCACTTGATATACGCCGAAACTGGTGTTGTGCAACGTGACTGTCTGAAGAACATAATGACAGATAGTAACCAAAAAATATGATATACATGTCATGTGCGCCATGACTTACTCACAACGCTCGTGGCGAGTTCATGGCCACTTCGCACACTTGATATACACTGAAATCGGTTTTGTGTGGCGTTACTGTATGACAAACATATATGAGAGATGGTAACAGAAAAATAATGACATGCACGTGATGTATGCCATGACCTACTCTTGATACACCCACTGCCATTTGCATCTCTTGATATACACTATAATTGGTATTGCGCAACATGACTATATGAAGAGTCTATATGACAGATGCTGAGATAAAAATAATTAATTGAATGTCACGCATGGCATAATTTACCGTACTTGCTCGCATAATAGGCACACTTTCTTCCAGAAAATCTGGTGCCAAGTTCGG